CAGGGAGGGATAAGGGCTGTGGTGGGCGCATGGAGTGGTAGTGGGTGAGGAGAGTACAGGGAGAGAGAAAGGCTGAAGTGGGTGCACAAAGGCATTGGGACTATGGTTGGGTATAGGGACTGTAGTGGGTGTAGGGAGTGATGGGGGTCTGTAGTGGGCACAGGAAGGCATAGGGCATGTGGTGGGTCATAGAAGTGATGGGTTGTGGCTACAGGAAGGGATAGAGGATGAAGTTGTACAGGGAGGGATGGGGCTTGAGTGAGTGCAGGGACTGTAGAGGGTGAGATGGGTACAGGTGACTGCAAGTAAGAAATAGGGCCAGGTAGCTGTAGTGGGTGATGTGTGTACAGGAAGGCATAGGGGCTTTGGTGGGTACAGAGGCAGAGGTAGGTTCAGGGAGGCATTGGGCGTTAAATGGGTAAATAGGGGCCTTAGAAAATCTTTACAAGGGGCATACCTGTTGTCTCTACCAGGCTGGCTTCTCACATCCAGGAGCCCTCTGCAGGACAGGAAATTATGTCACTTCCCAGACCTACCAAGAACAAGAGGACTGCTGCAAGGTCTCACTCCGAAGGGATGGGGGGGGTTACATTCACTGTGATAGATTGCAGAGGCCCGCAACCTATCACTGTACTATGTCCTAAATAGAGACACCTGGAGATATGGGTGTGTTCTCTTAGGTGGTGCACTAGCAGTGTAACTGTTTATGTATGTATGTTGAGAAGTTAAATTATTTAAAGCTTACTTGTGTGGACATACATATAAATAAATGAAACCAAGAGGGCTCCACTCATCTGAACATGCATACTTATAAGGGTGATGCTAGGGCCAGTTCATACAACATACAAGATTCAGTGCACTAACTGATTAATTAAGCTCTTGAGGGAATGAATGAGTGTGCTGGATCTTGTATGTTTTACATATAAATAAATTTTCTAAACAAACATAGCAGCATTTACATATGGGTTAGCTCCTCCCCTCACAGAAGAAAGGACTGGCCCTCAATCTTTTTTCCTGTCCTTCACAGCAGTTGGGAAGTAGTCTGCTTAGCAGGCCTAAATTTTTATTTCAGACGCACCAGGCCAATTTGTTTTTAGGCCCAGTTAGGGTTCAGCCGATAATCTCTGCAAACCAAGCAAACTGCACATATGCAAGAAGTGCCTCATTGGTTACCCCTTTTAGTGACCTGGGGTTTGACCTAACTTTCTCCTGAGGAGATGACAATGGGGTATTGGATACATAAGGCCAAGCCAGGGCTAGTACTCTTTTCCTGATGACAAAATAAACTAGCCCTTACATAAGGTGGGTCTGGGCATGCCACTTATATATACTCCACCGTGTCTGGGGTCTGTTATAAACCTTCCCCCAAAAGGTAGATCCTCAGCTGCTGTGTAACTTCCATGATACTTTGGCAGCTGTGGATCTACCCATCTTTGCAGGGTTGAATTCGTGTGCAGTATGTGTGTGTGCAATTCTAGGCATTTTTTTGTATGGGGTATGTTTGTGAATGTCTTAATGCGGGGATGTATTTGTGTCTAGTGTTGGCACTTGAATATAGGGTCTTTTTGTTGGTGTTTGCATGCAGGACTGTATTTACATATATACATTATGACAAAAAGCTGTGGTTTGGTTGATCATATTATATTGATTTGCATCATTGTCCCTGGACTGCCTCCCCCACCGTGCCCAAGTGCTTCTCTGCCCTTTGCTTGCCAGCAGAGTCTGTAAAGAAGCTGCCAACTTGCTGTGACGGCTTGTTCGCAGAAGACCTTTGCCCCGAATGGCAGGACAGGAGACCAGTGAGAAACAAAGAGCAGCAGCCACCACCACTGGACTGCTTCTAGGATGCCATGTGAGCCCTGTATGTATGCCATGACATACATTCACTTCCACATATACATGCACATAAATACACACTGACACAGATACAAGAGCTACACACATTGACACTCCAAGAGACAAACACACACGTACAAATAGATACTCACCCTTGCTTTTCAAGTCCAGTTCTCCTTCCTGCTGTGCACATTATAAATGTTTCCATTGAGTGCCAATAAGTCTGGTTCCAACCTTCCTGCAGACTCTGCTTCTCTGTCTTGCTTGACGGAAGGGAGTACAGGACTAATTACACAAATCCAAATACACTACTCAAATATTACATTTGAACATATATATACATATATATATATGGAAGTATATGAGAAAGTGCACACTTTCTCATATAGATTTTTTTTGGGGGATCTCCATTATTCCCTGTGAGGAATCAATGATGGTGGCAGTCAAAGTACCAATTTGTGAAATTATCCGCTCAAGTGCTGAAAGATAAAAAATTAAGAAAATAATTTTTTTTATTTTGCGCTTTCAGGTCTTTAGTAGATAATTCCACAATTTTTGATCATTATTAACACAAATGAATCTAAAACAAATCGCTTTGATTTATTATGAATCCATTCGTTTTCATTTCTTTATTTTCTGGCGATTCAGACAGAAACAGACAAAATTGCCGAATTTGGATGCAATTCAAAATGAAAAGCATGTCTCAAAAAAGGCAATGGGACAGAAAAGCAAATGTAGTCACTATATAAAGTAAAGAGGGTAGCTGCCTTTCTCTGTAACTGCACTCATCCATATTTCTCAACTTAAATTTTCCAGTTTAGTCCAGTCTTCCTTCATCGTGAAGATCATGCTCATTCTATTTCCAGAATGTTTAGATAGAATTTAATGTACTTACATACACAAGAGATCTTTAGTGAGGCATGAATGGGAGGTTTGTAATGTTTTCACTAAGCAGTCCTATGAGCAAATTCTACAGTGCTTCCAAGAAATTAAGGCGGCCACTTCAGAATATACTCATTTGGGACTGCTTAGAGTAAAGTGGAGTTTGTTAGAATAAAGACTGCTTGTATTAGAGGAAATCTATACATTCTAAATAGCTTTATCAGCAGTCAGAATGGATGGTTTACAAGAAGTGTAGTATTCCTAGATTTGCCATATACTTCATATCAGCTCAAAAAAATACAACGTATAAGGATCTTTAAACTTTTGGATAGATTAGATAGACCAGACTCCACTAAAGTGTGGCATGTCAGTATTTAATCCTTCCCAGGTTTCTGCAGACCACATTTTGATATTATGTAGCAATATAGTGTGTACTGTAGATAAATAAAATTAAACTAAAATCCCCATTCATCAGGTTTGGTAATCAGAGCATATAGGCAATTTGGCTGCGGTTTGTAAGCCCTTATCTGTGGTGGAGGGCCATACAAGGAACCTGTTAGTACAGCTTGAAGGTAATGATTCTACTCACCAGAACAAATGCAATAAGCTGTATTTCTGGCGACTATAGTGTCTCTTTAAGCTGTAGTTTCCTGCAGTGGCTCGGGAGCAAAAGCCTGCCTGAATGGCAAGCACCATTCCTCTTCCGAATTACACTACCTCTGGTAACAGTCACTCGGCCACTGGTAGGACTTCCCTGAAAAGGTCCTTCAAAGATTGCAGGTGTGAGACACCGAACTGACGTGTATTAGCCTTGCTTTTTTTTTTTCTCTATGGTGAAGCATTGAGTCCAAGCAATGTACGCATTCACATGAAGACAATGTTAAGTTGATTACTTTTAGTATACACAGGTGGAGGAACGTGGTGATGTGACACTCTATTTTAAACAGAAACTTTCAGAATGCATATATTTCTATCCCTAACCCATGTACCTTCTAGAGTTTGTATGCAGCAGTGTAGTAATAATGTAATCTGACAGCAAAACTTACCTAAAATTACTACAGCTTTATTGAACCTTTAATACTTGTTTCCAATACATTTGTCTAGCAAGAAATGCTGTGGAATACACTGTAAACCTTGAATTCATGGCACTTAAGATTCCTTAGAAAGGACTAACCTGCTAACACAAGGCAATCCATATTCTGGGTTACCTCCTACAAGACTTAGATCACATTTGATTACAAATCCAGTCAGTTTTAGATCTAGTGGACAACAGCTGCAAATGTTAGCTATGTCTAGAGGTTTACTTATTAAAGTAAAACACCCAAAATCAAAACGACTACAGTGGTTAAAGTGCCAGGAGTAGCAAGCTTGTGTGGTGATTGGAGTGTTCCCTTAAGTATATTAATATAGCAAGATATTTGGTATAATCCATGCAAGTTTCCTTTCATGATGTTCTAGTTTGAGTGGCAGTTTCTTAATCTTGTGCAAATCAAGGTTGATTGCAGTTAAAAACAGTAGGATAAATTAGATGCCAAAGATTGCATTTTGTGTAGAATTAAAACGAAACTATACACTTATCAGGACCAATCATTTCACTGTGTTTATTTCTTAGAGTCAACAATTTAAAAAAGTTCAAGGATGATCATAAGCCTGTGCAGAGCAGGCAGCAGTCATTTATACTCTCCCCATTCAACACAACCAATGTTGAGCAATGCAGGACAACTGAAGTGTAACCAACATAACCCCTTCAGAGCCAGAGGTTCTTACAACAGAACAGAAAGGTCCTCTGGCAGTGGAGGAGCAATTTTCAAAGGGCCAGCAGCAGAGTGTATCCCCCTGGTTTACTTGATAAGCAGGTTGTCCACTTCTTTGCATGTTCAGGCAAAAGCTGTTCATGAAGCACAAGACCTCTGTGCAAACAGGCTAAGTTGTGTCCTCTCAAATGCACTCAAGAGTCATCAGGTATGAACTGTAGGAAACCAAGAGCCATTACCTACAGTGGAGAACGATGGACTTTATTTCAACTATAAACGAAAGTGAATATGTAAAGACGTGCCTCCACTGGAATAATTTAGGGCCAAAGTAAATCATGAAGCTCAATGTTATCAGTCCAGTTTGAGTCTTAAGACTTTGCGTTATCCAGGTGATTTATAGATGAGAAGCAGCAGCCAGTTCCGATCCAAGGTGTGATTGTTACTGCAAAAGGATAAAAAATAAATAAATAAGGGGTAAACATTTAATTGTGTGTGGGAAAAACAAAACAAAAACAAACCCAAATGTATGCATGTATTCCTCTATTCAAACCGACAAGTCAAAGAATCAGACAAGGCAGAAAGCGCAAGGAAAGTTTCTATTGCATCTCTGTGCAAACCAAAAAGCAACTAAGTGGGCTCATGGTCTATCAATGGATGCTGAACTGTACATGCAAACCATGTACCACAATGACAAAGGTAACCCCCCGGTTTTGTACAAAGGATACCACATCACGTGACAATGGCTGTTTTGAAACAGAGAATGCAGTTTCAAACTTACACATTTCTCTAACTCCAGGCCATCCTTGAAGAATATCATGAAAGGAGTCAGACCATCTTCACGGAAATCAAGCAGAGCCACCATGCCCTCTGTGTTCATGCCTTCTCCTGTAAAGAACTAACAGAACCAATTGTTACTACTTTATCTGACTTGTGAAACCAAGATGAAAATTATAGTGGATTAGGAGAGAGGCAACATTTTAACAATGTTTAGTCATGTACCCTCCGCACCAAAAGAGCCATTAAGGGAAGACAAAATAAAAAATTACCTGGTAGTTTTTAAAGTTGCCAAGGATGTCTTTGATTTTCTCTGCAGCACCAGTCATGAAAGGTTTAACACGGCTTGGATTTGTTTCCTCAAGCTTGGCTTTGATTCTTAAAACAAGGGAAATGAAATATTTAATAAAGCATTTATTACACAACTGACATGTAAATGCAGTCTACTTGAGTGCTCAGACTTTAGATTTGTTTCATGGGAACAAGCCTCCAAAGGTGTCCTAAGTTAGTCATCATAGCATAACTCCAATACCAGTTTGCATTAGAGATAGACATTTAGGTACATGAAATATAGAATGTGCAGCATTGAAATCCCAGCATACGACCAAGATTTTCTACAATTTGTAATGCAATATACAAAAATCATAGTAGTCAGTTGGGTAAAGCATCAATTTTGCGAAGTGTTAAATCGGCTTTAAATTTGTAGACATGTTGCATTCAGTTCAGCCTGTCACCTCAAACACCATTGGCGTTTGTACTATCCATGCCACTTTTGTGCCAGCCTCATGTTGCATTTTAAATAAAATGTTTAAATACTGTGAGTTAGCATTTTTCTATTTGCTCTAACAGTGTTATTCACTAAAGTGAAAATTCACAGAATTTCAAGTTTAAGGCTGCCAAGCTTGCAGTTTTGGGCACTTTGCTTTAAAGTGACATTGTAGGCACCCAGACTACTTCAGCTAACTGAAGTTGAATGGCTACAGTGTCCCCATTGCACTTAGTGCTGCAATGTAAAACATTGCAGCTATAAGCTTGCACTCAGTGGCTGTCTACCAGACAGCTGAGCATGCGCATTAGGTCTCCCCTGTCAGCTGATGCTGGGGAGGAGAGTGGGCAGAGCCTGACCCAGCACTGAGGGACATTAAATCCTTAAAAAAAAAAAATCACACAATCCTTTGTAAGTCTGCAAGAACACAGCTCCTTAAGAACGAGGTGTTGGGAGGTGAAGAGAATGGTGTCAGATGCATGCATCAGTACATCTACCAATAAGGTCACCTTAACACCTTAAGGACCAAACTCCTGGAATAAAAGGGAAACATGACATGTCACGTGTCCTTAAGAGGTTAAAGGACCACTCCATACCAGGTAATTAAACTGGCTAAAGCGCTTTGTGTGCTTGAAATGTACCATTTATAAAAGGCAGTTTATTAAAGAAGCACCTCCCCAGCTGGAGAGGTTTGCACCCTACTGTTCGCTCCAAACAAAAGTGGCAGGTACACTACTTGAGCAAGCCTGCCTTCTGCCCATTCATTCACAGAGTTCACATCAAACCAGCAATCTTCCTGAACACTGAATTTCACTGTGCACTGCAACAGAGGCTTCTAATTGGTTTTAAGCTTGCAAGGAGCCAAATTCTCTTCTGAGGAAGGAGAGTGCTTGCAATGGTACCATCATAACTGCATGTAGTTATTAAGGGTATATCAACTAAATAGGGAATTTTAAAAATGCAAATTGCCCTTAAGGCAGCCATCAGAGCAGACTATTTACATGCTTTAGAAGTTTACTTACAGTTTCATGTAACCCTTAATATAAGATTTGTAAGATTCCTTTGTGAAGCCAGTTTCCTGAAGCTTGTGATTTAATACTATATCAACTCCTGTGACGGTTGTTAAATCTGACCCTTCATCTGGGGACTCAACAGATGCATTTGCACCAATCAGAACTTCATCAATTGAACCTTCTGTTCTAGTGACCATCTAAAAGAAAAGAAAACACATGCAATTAATGGAAGTCTAAGAACTGTGCCCTTTGTTGCATATTTCTTATATCAAGTTTGCCCCCTCCCAAGACATGTAGCCAAGTCGCTGACAGCACAGGTCTAGTCCTTTGCTATTAACAGTCCAACATTCCACATAAACGTGTTACTTGAGCATGCAGAAGTACAGAGGTCTTTAGGAGACCCTGAATTATGCATTTCATAAGAATACACATGAGACATTGAATTTACAAGTTCTGCCTTGTTAATACAGTAACTTATCACAAGTAGTACCCACTTTGTCTTACAGTAACTAGGACACCTTTCAGTGTCTTTGATGCTGTAGTATTTAACTGAAGCTATCCCCGTGTGTGCACTACTTTTTTCTTTAGCACCTGGCACTTAACCTGCCAAGAGCCATGTCGGTGCAGTACTAAAGCATGAGCGAGTGTACAACACTGATGTCTATGAAAGTTCCCAAAACTCCAAAGACCATGTCTCACAATAAGACTAGCTCCCATAGTAGTTGCTAGCACACACGCAGTATAACAGACTTCAATTAATAACTCCAGGTGGTAGTTTTCAAGTGACCACAATATTTCACGTTAGCAGTACGTTTCCCATTGGAAATGAATGCTGAAGTGGAAACGACCTAGATTAAAATGGAAGCATCACTACCCAAGGACTTTGCAAAGACCAGACTGACATTGCCACGGGTGGTTTGGGTGGGGCAGGTAAAGTTTACCTACTTGAACCTTAAGAGTGATGTCATCTTCCTTTCGTCTGTTCTCTAACCAGGAGCCAATAGCATTGCGGTGTATGAAGGATGCCTCTAAGGTTTTCCCAAAGAGCCAAATCTCTACAGAGCTCACTGGGATTTACACTGTAGCAGCAGAAAGTGTCTAAGAAAGTAATGTGGAGGAAATCTACAGAGACAAAGTAGTTCCTACTTTATATATCTTGACTGGGTTAGAATACCAGTGAATTTCCAGAAGTCAGAAAAAGTATTTCATAAAGATTCAATCTTTATAAAATACTTACAGGATCATTAGTGTTAGGAAAACAACGATTTTCCCGACACCATAGTGCCCTGAGGGCGACATCTCCTCCCCCACCGTTAGCGGAGACGAATGCGCATGCGTGGCAGGGCCGCACATGCATTCAAAGTGTCCATAGGAAAGCATTTTCAGTGCTTTCCTATTGACGCATAAAATGCCTCCAGCGTCACAGATGCACCTCTAGTCGCTGGATTAATCCCAAATGTAAACAGCAGTTTCTCTGAAACTGTTTGCATCTGAAGGGTTAAAACCTGAGGGACCTGGCACCCAGAACACTTCATTGCGCTGAAGTGGTCTGGTTGACTATAGTGTCCCTTTAAGTGAGAAAATTCACAACTCAAATACAAAAAATATTCTTTTATAAAGATAATACTGTTTATTTTACATACACACCATAAAGTGAACGCATTTACACATTATTCCATTGGCAAAGATTAAAAACAGCTTTCAAATGCTGCAGATTCTTTGCTAACACCCTTCCCTTTCTAAACCCACCCAGACTGTCAGTGGCTGTGCGGTCAAGACTGTCCTGCACAGCTACGAGTTCTTAACAAGGCAGTTCCCTATCATTTGATTTTAGTTCCACGGAGCCAAATACAGGAAGTAACATGGTTTATTTAAGAAGTGCTAAAAAAATTCTACTGACATCTACACCTCAAAAAACAAAAAACAAAAACAAAAAAACACCCCACAAAGTACAATAAAAGTCCAAAGTACACTTTAGTGTTTGAGGTAGCTAATATTTTGGCACTAGTCAAGTGATTTACGCAAAAAAAACCCACTAACCTTGCCTTCAACTTCATAGCAAAGTCCACAACTGCTTTCTTTGATTTTGTAGATGTCTGAGAACATCTCGTCTTCTAAAAGAGAAGAAAAAAAAAAAAAATTGAATTGTGAAACATTTAAAAATTGAAAGTGCAGGATGGTAAACAACCAGAACAATTGAGTAGATGTTACATTGCCAGAAATCACACTTTCCCCTTACCCGGGTCTCCATCAGACTTCAATGCTCCTCAGTGATCCAAGCATAACAGCATGCGCTAAGCCAGGCATAGGCAACCTTCGGCACTGCAGATGTTTTGGACTACACCTCCCATGATGCTGTGCCAGCACTATGGGTGTAAGTATTATGGGGGATGTAGTCCACAGCATGTGGAGTGCCAGAGGCTGCCGTTAGCCAGGATCCCCAGCTAGTAGAACACACCCTTCCATCCCTGTTAGTAGGATCCTGTCTCTAGCATGCCCCCCCCCCCATGCTGCCCGGCGCGGGGGTCCCACGTGGCGAGGAGCGCGCACAGTGCAGCAGGACTCCGCCCGGCCGCCATTACCCGGCGCGGCTCTAGCAGGACAGCCGGAGTGTGAGCCCACTGATCCGGCCGCCAGACTGCCGATTGAAAGTTACTGATTAGATCTCCAACGGATGGAAGAAGAAAAAATCCGCCCAGTCTCTCAAACCCTCCCCCCCCCCCATTCCGCGCCAAGTCTGCCTGGTAACAGCACACCGCACCACAGCCCCACCCATTTCATGGCAGTGACGCGCCGTAGACCGTGACGTCAGAACATTTTCCCCCTGAATAAGCCCAGTCCCCCGGCATGGCCTAGCGGGGGGGGATGGGAGAACCCGGGATCGCGTGCTGCTGAGTTAGGTGTGAGGCCCCCCGGGGGGAGAGGATTGGCCGTTGAGAGCGTGGCCTGCCCGCGTGCCATGAGTAATAAGGATTCCAGCGGTAGAGTCCGCGCGGGGAGCGGCGGGAAGGGCTCGTGTGGCGCCCGCCAGAGAACGTTCCAGAAGCTTGGGAACGCGACGTCGCGAGCCGCTCCCGTCACAGCGCGCGCTCCCACACCAGCAGCACGAGGACCCAGGCCGGCGCTCTGACAGGAAAACTCCCTTTCCCACTTCGGTAATATAGATCGCACCGGCTGCTAACACGGCCATCCTGCAGCGGGAGAGAAGCGCTACTCACTGGAGATGATATCCTTGTAGATGATCATGGCGGCGGGGTACTGAGCGGCTCTGTCCCGGAGCGGTCTATCGGAGGCTCAGCGCCTGCAGAGGGTGGGGAGAGGAAAAGAACGAGTCAGAGCTTCACTCGGCTCATATAGAGGCGGCGCGGCCCCTGTGACGCACACAGCACATGCGCACTAGGGGCTGAGGCGGGGCTCGCGCTATCAATTGCGTCATGTGCGCCAATGGCCGAAGGGAGCGGCGGGGAACGCCCTGCGAACAGACCATAGAGGCCGGGACTCCGCTCTAGCGCAGAGACCCAGCGCGGCACCACGGTAGCAGCCGCCCACAGCGCCCTCTGCAGGCAGGCTGGGACACTGCCTGGCTCACTAAACTTTGTCTTAGTTCGGTAAAAGGTCAGGAAACCACTGGAAACCCGGTCTGTTCCAAACATTATATTATATACACTCTCTGGGATACACTCTCCTTTATGGTAACAGCATTCATTTTCACAGTTTTGTCCAACTTAGCGGCCAATTACAT